ACAAATTTGAAAATCCAATTAAATTAGAAAATCCAATTTAAATAAAAATATTTTTAATTCATTCTGCTGTGATAACTTAATACAGTAACTCTGGTTTAGTCCTGACTTGTTTAGATTTCTATCAAAGGATTAGATGCTAGAAACAAAGGAGAGATACTGTTTTGTACTTTTGAGGCTGTTGTGCTGGCATATGCTTTGATGATAGAACTTCATTGTGGATTATTTTCTTGGTAGAGCTTTATGTTGGCTATTTCAAAGAATCACATGTTTGTTTTTTTATTGGCAAGGATATGCAGTATACATTTCAATAATTTCTCAGAGGATTTCCGTAAAATCTAATCAGTTGAAGAATATAGTCTACTCTCCTAATTTTAATTATTTATGAAGGCACAGGTATATATAAAGCATTCAAATCTCTTTTGTTCCTAGTAGACCTTCAAGTCTATAACAGCCAGATTATCTTTCAATATACATAATGCAAATTAAATAGAAGTCGTGAGCCAGGATCTCCAAAAATATCAAGCAAAACATAAGGCACCAAAATATAGTGTCTAGGCATCCATATTTGAAATCCTTCAATAATAATAAGCTTTTATTGATCATCACTGAGAAGGAAGCATTTCTTAGTGCTGAGTTCAGAATATCTATAGGCTGCTTTGCCACAGGCATTGCATATATGTCACAAACAACTGAAACATGCACATATAATTGTGGTAGATTATTTTTTTGTTCTTATGCAACTACACACGCACACACACACAGAGAGAGAGAGAGAGAGAGAGAGAGAGAGAGAGAGAGAGAGATATGCATGTGATCAAAGATAAAATCCCTCCAGAATGTATATGGGTCAATATAAAAGGGGAAAAAAGTGACATTACCATAGGTGTATATTACAGTCAGCCAACCAACCAGAAGAAATAGATGGACTCTTTGCCAACCAGTAACAAACGTATGTAGGAAGCATGCCACAGTAGTAATGGGAGACTTCAACTATCTAGATATCAACTGGGAGACAAACTCTGAAGTGATTGGGAGATCAAACAGATTTCTAACCAACCTAGATGACAACTTTATCATCCAAAAGGTGGAGGAGGGAACTGGAAATAAAGCTATACTGGACCTAATCCTTACTAATCAAGAAGAAGTGATAGAGGGAGTTGAAATTGCCGGAACCTTGGGTGAAAATGACCAGGTCATGCTGAAATTCAATATAATTCAAACACAAGCAATAGAAAATAATCCAACCAGAGTCTTAAACTTCAAAAGAGCTGATTTTAACAAACTCAGAGAGAACCTAGGAAAGATTTCATGGATGAAAATCCTAAAGGAGAAAACAGTGCAAGAAGTGTGGGAAACTGAAAAATATGATCACAAAAGCCCAGTCCAGCACAATACCACTGAAAAAGAAAAACAAGAAATTCAAGAAAAAACCAGCATGGCTGCACAAAGCTCTCTCTGACAAACTAAAAGAGAAAAAGGACAAGTACAAAAAAAGGGAAAGAGGGATACATAACTAAGGCTGATTATCAGTAGACAGCCAGAACATGCAAAGATGAAGTCAGGAAAGCAAAGGCTCAGAATGAAAGAAGACCTGCAACAGAAATCAAGGACCATAAAAAAAGTTTCTTTCAACATATTAATAACAAGAAAAAAGTCAATGAATCTGTAGGTCCAGTAAAGAGAGACGATGGCAAGGAAGTAACAGGCAGTAGGGAGATAGCAGAGCTGCTTAACTCATTCTTTGCATCAGTCTTCACACAAAAAGAAATTATAGCCCAACATACCCCAAAAACAGACAGATTACACCCCAGAGTTCCTAAAGAGCTGGCAGATGTTATTTCAGAACCATTGTACCATATATTTCAAAAATCCTGGAGTACCGGGGAAGTACCTGAGGATTGGAAAAGGGCTGATGTGGTTCCCCTCTTCAAGAAAGGAAAAAAAAACAGACCCAAGAAACTATAGACCAATCAGTCTAACATCAATACCTGGGAAGATCCTGGAAAAAATAATCAAAAAACAGATCTGCTAACAACTAGAAGCAAACAAAGTTATAACCAGTAGCCAGCATGGGTTTGTCAAAAGAGATCATCCCAAACCATCTTATTTCATTCTTTGATAAAGAGCCTAAATTAGTAGACCAGCGAAATGCTGTGGACATAGTATACTTAGACTTCAGTAAGACATTTGACAAAGTATAAAACCTAGTATAGTGACGAACCTATGGCACGCGGGCCAGAGGTGGCACTCAGAGCCCTCTCTATGGGCACGCGCGCCATGCCCCGGAGATGGCAACCATCCCTCTTCAACCAGCTGCCCGCTAACTCGACGAGGTCCCACATGGCCAGATGCATCCCAGCACCCATGCACTCACTGGCCTCTGTGTGCAGCGGCTGATGGTGTCAGGCAGCAGCCGCCCTGGCCCCTGCCTCACCTTGCCCTGTGACAATGGCACCCCTGCCCTGCCTCACCTTGCCTTGCCTCACCCAGCAGGACGAGCCTCCTACCCACCGCCCCACCTGCCAGAGACCTCCTGGATCTCCCCCAACCCTGTCCGACTCCCACAGGCGTCCCTTCCCAGGAGCAACATCGAGGTGATCATGCCCACCTTGGCCATACCCACCTAGTCTGCCATGACCACCACAGCCACAGCCACCCAGTGGGCCACGCCCACCTGGCACCCGGCAATAAATAAGTGGGTTTTGGATTGCAGTTTGGGCACTCGGTCTCTAAAAGGTTTGCCATCACTGACCTAGTAAGATCACGCCTGGAATACTGCAACCAATTTTGGTCACCATACTACAAAAAAGATGTTGAGACCTAGGAAAAAGTTCAGAGAAGAGGAACTAAAACAATCAAAGGCCTAAAACATATGAAGAATGGCTGCAGGACCTGGGTTTGGCTAGTCTGAAGAAAAGAAGAAACAGGGGCGACATGATAGCAGTATTCCAGTACTTGAGGGCTGCCACAAAGAAGAGGGAGTCAACCTATTCTCCAAAGCACTAGAGGACAGGATAAGAAATAGTGGTTGGAAACTGACCAAAGAGAAGCAACCTGGAATTAAGGAGAAACTTCCTAACAGTGAGGACAATTAACCAGTGGAACAGCTTGCCTTCAGAAATCGTGGGCAGAAATTGTCCATCACTGGAGGTTTTTAAGAAGAGACTGGACAGTCACTTGTCTGAGATGGTATAGGTCCTCCTGCTTGAGCAGGGGGCTGGACTAGAAGACCCCCAAGATCCCTTCCAGCTCTATTCTATTCTAAACACTTTAGTTAAAGTTTATAGTCTGTGAACTCAACAGTTCTCACAAAACAGCTTATGTTTAGTCATGCCTTGGTCATTTCCTCATTGGATTATTGCAATACATCCATATGAGGCAAAGACTATCTGGAAATTACAACTGGTCCTAAATATTGCAGTGCATGCACTTCTTGGCAGTCCACAGTTTACTCATATTACATTGCTGCTGCAAAAGCTATAAACCAATCAGAATAGAGCTGGAAGGGAGCTTGGAAGTCTTCTAGTCCAAACCCCTGCTCAAGGAGGAGATCCTATACAATTTGAGACAAGTGGCTATTCAGTCTCTTCTTAAAAACCTCCAGTGATGACGCACCCACAATCATTGAAGGCAAGCTATTCCATTGGCTAATTGTTCTCAGTATTAGGAAGTTTCTTCTTAATTCCAGATTGTTTCTCTCCTTGATTAGTTTCCATCCTTTGTTTCTTGTCTTGCCTTCTGGTGCTTTGGAAAATATGTTGACCCTCTCTTCTTTGTGGCAGTCCCTCAAATACTGGAATCTACTGCTATCATCCCTAGCCCTTCTTTTCTCTAGACTAGCCATACCTAGTTTCTGCAACCGTTCTTCATGTTTTTACCTCGGGGCTTTTAATCATCATAGTTGCTCTTCTCTGCACTTTTTCCGACATCTTGTTTGTAATGTGGTGACCAAAACTGGATACAGTATTCCAGGTGTGATCTTACTAAAGTTTTGTAAAGCTGTACTAAAGAGGTTCTATGCCTATCTTTATACAACCAAGGATTGTATTAGCTTTTTTGGCTGCTGTTGCACACTGCTGGCTCATGTTTAAGTGATCGTCCACTAGCACTCCAAGGTCCCTCTCACAGTTACTGTTTTTGAGCCAGGTTTCACCTAATCAGTATTTGTACCTTTGGTTTTTCCTACCTAAGTGTAAAGCCTTTTCTCCACATTAAATTTCATTTTGTTGGATAGGAACCCATTGTTCAAATGGAAGCAGTATGTTTTTCATTTCCCCCCCAGTGCAATTCCAATTTCAAATCATTTAAAACTCAAAATGATTATTACTTTTAAAGCCCTAAATGACTTGCAGGACCATGTCTCGCTGAGGGTATCTCATTCCACCCATTTCCCCAGATTAGATATGATAGGCATACTCCAGATCCCATCCTTTAAATGTTGTCATTTGGAAATGTGCCTTCTCCATATCTTTCACTGCCCACTGGAATACCCTTTCTCCTGCAGATCCAGCAGAGCCCTGTTCCCCTGGTCTTCTGGAAGGCGTTGAATAGCTGGGTTATCCTACAAGTGTTAGGAAGGAATGAGGCTGGAGCCCAGAAGGTGGAATCCTGATGTCTGTGAAAGTATTGTCTTAGGGTGCCAGGAATTGTTACTGTAATTGTTGGGAATTTTGATATTTTTTATTGTTTTGTGAGCTGCTCAGGGTTAAAGTTCACAATATAAGCAACTATATAAACTTTTTAAAATAAAAGTTGAATGCTTACAGGGAGTTTGGGAGACATTAGAAACTGAAGTATGCAACTTACTGTATGGTCAGATAATTTATCTGAAATTGTATCATTTGTTAAATTTTAGATAATGTGTTATAGATTTGACTGGTTGAACAATTTGGTGGTCTTTCTTTATCAGGGGTAGCTGATAGTTGCTGCCCTTGTATATGTGTCTACAAAGACTTACATGCTCAGCAAATGAAAATAACAAACACATATCTTTTTCATAGGTACAATGGCTGCCTCCCTAATGGTGACCGGGGTCGTAGGAAAAGCAGATTTGCCCTTTATAAAAGACCTAAAGCAAATGGCGTCAAACCTAGCACTGTTCATGTGATTTCAACACCTCAAGCATCTAAGGTATTGTCACTAATTCTCAGAGCTTGGGCCTTAATGCTAAGTTTTGCAAAACAGCAATGATTGAACGTGTGGGTGACTATATATTCTTCGGTGGTTATTCCTTTCTGGTGCTGGAAGGTATTTTTTTTGTATTGAGCATACTTTATTGGGTCTTGAGTACAATGATGTTTGCATTCAGAATTCTTTCATCTGGGCTAATAAATAGATATTGACAAAATGTTTCAAATCTACAATTTCTGAATTTGAATGTTCTTTAAACTCTGATGTTCTGTGTCTAATTCACACTAGCTGTTTGATCTTACTGGAAATATTTAGTCCTATTCCAATTTTCCAGAGGTTGTCCATACTCAAAGAAGTATGGACAACCCCCCCCACCCACCCATAACCATTCGAAGGGGGTTGGGGCATTTTGAGTCTTAAAATAACTATGGAATACTTTTTACAAAGTGAGAACAAAACCCATGTTGAAACTTTAAAATCTCAGATTGGAATGCAGTTCAAAATTTAATTCATAGTCATGGATTCATAAATGCATGGACAATTATGAATCCTACAATAAAAGCGCATACATTTTATTCAGGTAGACATGAATCCCACTGTAGGATATACTGTATACAAACATCTAAACCAGGGGTCTCAAACTGCCTATGAATGTAAATTTATATTTAATTAATATTTTTTCCAATTTAAAATATAACTATCCAATTAGAAAATTATTGAATACTATAGACATTAATAAAACCAATTAATCTTCATTAGCAATGTGTTCTTTAGATATATTTAAAGTTTAAAGCCTTTGATTCTCTGGAAATAGCATGTTTAAAACAAATATTAAATAAATCCAGATTTGGGACTGGCTGTTGTAAGATGATCGAACATACTTTCATATGGACCAACTGAAGTGCGGATAAGACTTAACAGCTATGATTCAGATTCTACATTTAGGCAAGAAAAATCAAGTGTATAGGTATAGTATAGGGGGTACCTTGCTCAATAGTAGTAACTGTGAGAGGGATCTCGGAGTCCTAGTGGACAATCATTTAAATATGAGCCAGCAGTGTGCTGCAGCTGCCAAAAAAGCCAACACAGTGCTAGGCTGCATTAACAGAGGGATAGAATCAAGATCACACAAAGTATTAATACCACTCTACAATGCCTTGGTAAGGCCACACTTGGAATACTGCATCCAGTTTTGGTCACCACAATGTAAAAAAGATGTTGAGACTCTAGAAAAGAGTACAGAGAAGAGCAACAAAGATGATTAGGGGACTGGAGGCTAAAACATATAAGGAAAGGTTGATGGAATTGAATATGTCTAGTTTAATGAAGAGAAGGACGAGGGGGTACATGATAGCAGTGTTCCCTCCCAGAGAAGAGGGAGTCAAGCTATTTTCCAAAGCGCCTGAAGGCAGGACAAGAAGCAACGGGTGGAAACTAATCAAGGAGAGAAGCAACCTAGAACTAAGGAGAAACTTCCTGACAGTGAGAACAATTAACCAGTGGAACAACCTGCCTCCAGAAGCGGTAAATGCTCCAACACTGGAAGTTTTTAAGAAGAGACTGGACAGCCATTTGTCTGAAATGGTATAGGGTTTCCTGCCTGAGCAGGGGGTTGGACTTGATGACCTCCAAGGTCCCTTCCAACATTATTATTATTATTGTTGTTGTTGTTGTTGTTAGCTATCGTGATTTTAAAAAGTACAAAGCAGGGTTATCTCTTATTACCTGTATTATTCAGTCTAGTTATAGAAGTGCTGGTAACATCACTTAGATCAGGCATGTCCAAAGTCCGGCCCGCGGGCCATTTGCGGCCCGCGGCCCGGTTTAATCCGGCCCTCGAACAGCCCTCCCTGCTCTATGTAAATGCGGCCCTCCCACGGCCCTCCGGCAAGTCCCATGAGAGAGAGAGAGAGAGACAGAGACAGAGGCACTACGTGAACGTGAAGACAGAGAGAGAGAGAGAGAGAGAGTAGGGACTTGCCCCCTCGCAGGGCTCCTCATTGGCCCTGCGCCCGGGTGTCCCGCCCCCTGGGAGAAGGGCGGCCAGGAAGTCCCTTTCCCGGGCTGGCCCCGTCCCAGGCGCACGTGGCTGGGGAGCCATGCGGGGAAGCCCCGGGATCCCCGCTGGGAGAAACCCCCCAGAGCCTTTGCTGAGTGGGCCAGCCCTCCCGTAAGCCGCAGCCCTGAGAGAGCAGCCCCTGCGATATCCAACCGGCGCAACCATTGGCCAAGCAGCAGCAGAGCCGGAGATGGAAGGTCAGTGGCAGGGGGGAGGGAGGGAGCTCTGAGTCCGCAGAGCACCGCCGCGAAGTGGCTGCGGGGCAGGTGATTCGCCCCCCCCAGCTTACTTGTTCCAGTCTCGGCTGGGGCATCGCTTCCTGGGCCGCTCCCTGGGCAGCCGAACCAGCCACATGTCTCCCCGTGCTGGGTGGCAGTCATGGCTGGTGCGGCGGCCAGCGGGAGCATCGCTCCCCGGGAAGCCGAACCGGCCACATGTCTCCCCAGCCCGGGCCAGACGGCAGTCAGGCATGAAGCTCGCCTGGCTGCCGCAGGGCTCTCCGCCGCCTGGCCCCACCTCAGCCCCATTGGTGGCACCTTCCTCGGGCACTTTCAGGGAGCCGCCGCTGCTGCCCTCGTTGCTGCAGGAGAAGGAGACCTTGGGATGCGAGGGCGGCGGGGCTGGCGGTGATCGGGACCCCCCCTCGTCGGCACTCCCCGTTGCCGGCGCAGCCACCCATGGTGCACCCGGCCTTGGCGCCCTTCTCCTAAGACGGCGAAGTGGCTGAGGATGCGGCGGGGCGGCGGCCGGGCCAGGGACGGCGATGGGGACCCCGACGATGCTGCAGTGGCTGCCGCCAGAGCCGCTGCCTCCCATCCTGCTCCCCCTCCCTGCCCGTTTGGCTGAGGACGCAATGGGGCCGCCGCCACTGGAGCTGCTGCCTCCCGTCCTGTTCCCCCTCCCTGCCCCTCCCTGCTTGTTCGGCTGAAGAAGCGATGGGGGGGCGGCCGGGAGCTTCTACCTT